GATGTGTTTTTCATTGGGTTGAGGTTACTTGGTATTCTGTATGCTTCGGTTACCTGAATAGCAGATTGTTTCCTCATATTTGGGAAGTTTTCTACTATTATTTTAATGTCATTTGTGTTGACTCCTTCTTTCTCATTGATGCCTATGAGTCTCACATTGTTCATCTTTGCATCATCTTGCAGGTGATGGATTATTCTTTCGTGCGTCCTCATTGTTTTTAACAGATCCTTTCTTACCTTTTCACTAGCTGCATCTTCAAGATCTGAAACTTTGTCTTTACTCTCAAACAGTTTTGCAAGCTTGTGATTGAGGTTTTAATTACCTCTATATCTCCTTGACTCTGCTTCATGCGATCTATTTCTTTCCTGCATTGCTCATTCAAGGAATCTGTCATTTTTCTAATCTCCTCTATTTTTTTTATCAATGTCTTCTTTATAAGCAGTTATATATGCTTTTACTGCAATTTTTTTCAGATTGGGTTTCCTCCCTATGTTTCTGTATTGCTCCTTTACTTCAGAATCTATGAGTTCTGAGAATTCTTTTTTTATTTCAGAAAAGAATTGCTCTCTGAGTTCTTTAATAACTTTCTGCTGTTGCTTATTTACTATCGACACTATTAATTCATACTTTTGAGCCGAGCTAGTGTCCTCTGCACTTGTTCTGGGTGGGCATTGGGTTTCCTCCATATGTTTCTGCATTTGATTCTTTAGTGCAGATGTTATTAATTGAGGGATTTCTTTTTTTATTTCCAATCGGAGTACCTCTTTACCTTTCTGCAGCTGTTTCTTTATTTCAGAAGCCGTTGATTCATTGCTTTCAGCTGTGTGTTTTCCAATTTGTTCTGTGTTAGTGTCCTCTGCACTTATTATGGGTGGGCTTGAGTTCTGAGGTTGCATTTTGTTCCTTCTCTTCGTTTTGTGTAGCACTGTCTTCAGCTGTGCCTGGCTGTGGTCTGGCTGCTGTGCTCAGCTCCTTTCTGCTGCTGCCGTTGGGGTTGAGCCAGTTTTGCCCCTCTGGCAAGATTTTCTGTTCCTGGACTAGCTTGGTGGTTCTTTCCTCTACACTCTCTGCAGGAATTGCAGCTGCAGGGTCTCACCCCAGGCCTGTATGCCTTGCCTGAGCTGAGCCTGGAGGGGACAAGGTGGAGTAGCAGGGAGAGGCAGCTCTCCCATACACTCATCAGGCCTGGGCAGGACTGTGTCTGGGGGTTCCCGCTACACAGCATAAATTCCTACTCGGCAGGCACAGTGGGGATGGTGCTGTGAAGTTGTGGGGGTGTCCCAAACGTGTTGGAAGAGGGTCTCACCCACACTGTGCCTGGGCTGGGACCAGTAGTAGATCCCACCAGCACAGGGTAGCCGGAAGCTCTTCCACACACTCACCGGGCTTGGGCTAGGAGTGGGTCTGGGGGTTCCCACAACGCAACAGAAATTCCTACTGGGCGTGCGGAGTGTGAGAAGTGCTGCGGAGTGGTGGGGGGCATCCCAAGGGGGTGGAAGTGGGTCTCACCCACGCTGCACCTGGGTAGGACCAGTAGTAGATCCCACGGGCGCAGGGTAGCCGGAAGGTCTCCCACACACTCACCAGGCCTGGGCTAGGATTGGGTCTGATATGGCTTTACTTTTTATACCTCATTTTTAAACTTTTCTCCTGGACGGTTAAGACCACAATAAAGCAGGACCTATATAACAAGAAATGCAGCTTTTGTATCTGACGAAGTGGGTCAAATCCCCTCTGGATTTAACCTGAAACCCTGTACCACAGTTTGTAGATCCTTTATCAGTGTCTGCCATGTGGATGAGTGAAGGCCATTGCTTGCCCAATTTGCTCTCTGAAAGCCTGAGTGAATGGTTTCTCTCTATGTGACTCTCCTTCGGCACACTCTACATCATCAATCCCTTTCCTCTGTGGCCCCGTAATCTCCTTGATCAGAAAATTTGGAACACAACTGAGTTGTAAGATATTAAAGTACAGGTTCACCTATGTCCTGACTCCTCACTGATCTTGAGAGGCTAGGGCCAAAATTTTGACTGTCCTTGCAGCCCTTCTTTTCTCTAATTTTTGGTCTGCAAATTTAGGTTGTTAACCTTACATTAGAGAAGCTTAATGATATTATTACCCTATAGCATAGGCAGTTGAGCTTAACCTCACTGTCTGAATATTAAACATCTTAGGCATAACATGGAACAGGTATTTTCCATCAAGTATTGATATGTTAAACTTTAAATCACTATAGAATGTGAAAAAAAGAAAATATTTTTGAAAATAGGAATAAACAAGTAAATATTTTTACAAAAAAATTTAGAAGTGTAACGATATGCAGCATTTTAGTAGGACAGTCCTATGATATTTTTTTCTTGTCTCTTGTTTTCATTTATTACCCTTTTTTTTTTTGAACAAACATTTACTTGAAAGACAGTGTGGCAGTAATTGGTTAGTCTCACCCTGAGTTACTATATATGCTGATACTTGTTAACTAAGCAAGTGCACTGAAGACAGCCAGTCACTCTTGAAACTACAGCACTCATTCTAGCAGCCCTCCGGGGACTGGCCGGGCCGCATAGTAGATCCTTACTCTTTTTCTTCCCTCGGGAAGGCAAAGTTGCTGCCTTGATGGTAGTCTTCCCGCAGTGGAAGTCAGGTGTCCTTTGGGGTGTGTGTGTGTGTGTGTGTGTGTGTGTGTGTGTGTCGTGCTGGGAATTAAGCCTTTGGCCTTTGCACTGAGCTTTGCCCCCACCCATTTTATTTTATTTTTCTGTATTTTAGGAAAGGGTCTACAGGGTATTCAGGATCTCACTAATAGATCGGATTCATAGTGATCTGCCTGTTTACAGCCTCCCAAGAACTGGGATTACAGGTGCACACCACCATTCCCAGTCTCAATTGCCCTCTTAGCACGCTCCAGGGATGGGCCCAGCACAGCAGGCCCAGAGACTGAACTCCCGGCCCCTACACCTGCTTGCAAGGGCTTTAATCCACTGAGCTATTTGGCCGGCCCTTCACCCTTTTTATTTTGAAATAGAATCTTCTTGCTAAGTCATCAAATTGCCTAGGCAAGGCTCAAACTCATAGTCCTGGCTCAGCCTCACAGAGTGCTGAAATTAGAGGCTTGCAGTACCATCCCCACTTTACAACTAATTTTTATAGTGTGTGGTACTGAAAAATGTGACTAAAGTATAGTAAAACCACAGATATGCGTAAAGGTTCTTTAAAGCAGCTGCATCTCAGTCTTGTTTGGTTTTAATTCAGCTTCAATAATTGGTACCAGAATTTTAGCTAGACTATTATTTTCTGGGTCCTGTTTTTTTCTTTATATTATTCATAGTGGTAAGAATTAGTGCAGTCATCAAAAAAAGTTGATCTGATGAATTTTAAGAATGTTTTTCTAGATCTGTGAAGTACACTGATGCTATTTTGATTGGGATTGCACTGAATCTGTTTAACAATTTGAGGGATATGGCCTTTTTCACAAAGAAATGTGCTATACAGAAAGACGAACTCAAGGCCTTTACAGGTACATGGATCTAACTAGAGAACATACTCTTAAGTGAAATCAATCAGACCCACATGTATAAACATCATACTGTCTCCCTAGCATAAGAAACAGAAAGAGTAAATAAAATCTGAAAGGTACAATAGACAGTATGAAAGGGAAAGAAACTGCCCAAAAGGAAGAAACAATTGGGATGGGGAAAAGGACAAAAAAAAGAAAAGAATACCCACACACACACACACACAATAGCTAAGATAATTGCAGTACTAATTTCTATTTTATTGAAAGGAACAGTTAATGTTTAATTGTTTGATCAATTTTGCATGCATGTATCTAGTAATCTAAACAACTACTTAAAAGATAACAATATGCAATATAACAATCATTGTTAATTTCCTATCATTGTGTTCTGTATCATTTTTATTCTCTTTAAAATAAAATACAGGGCCAGGGAGATGGCTCAGTAGAATAAGCACTTCCCTGGCAAGCACAAGGGCCTGAGTTCAATCCCTAGTTCCACCACAAAAAATAAATAAACAAAATTAAATTAAATTAAAAAGTAGACCATGCCAAATGTGAAGAAGTATATAAACACAGACCATAAACTATTAGAATTTGGTAAGTTAGGTATATCTTAAAAGTATTCTGATCATGTTCATATGAAATAATAATGTATAACATGCTGTTTTATAAGAGATTAATACTGTAAACAATTGTCTTTAATTTGTAAATGTTCATATTCTGCAGTACACATTCCTTTTTGACTTACAACTTTATGGTCGTGTTTATTAAGCTATGTCAGTTTTAAAGTACTTTAGAAAAAAGAAATAATCATTTTCAATTTTGGTCATAGTAATTTTATGTTTTATTAACAGCTTTTACCGTTTTGTCCTGGAGCCAGAAGTGATGTCAGGGGCTAATGATAGTCCCTCTCTTGGACCAGTAGCAAAGTTCCTGGATATCCCTGAATCACCCCTTCTAACCCTCAACATGATTACTCCAGAAGGCTGGTTGGTTGAAACAGTGCACAGCAACTGTGACCTTGATAATATACACTTAAAAGATGTAAGTTCCTGTATAAAGTCATCTGTCAAGAGAGAACTAGGGTAATTCTTTAACACCTTTTTAACTGTAGCAAGTGAATGATCATCCTGTGGATGCTCACCAGAATTTACTTCTTTCTGAGTTTTGGTCTTAATCCAGTCATTTCTTTGACTTTTTAGTTTCCCAAACCTTTAGATTCAGCTTTTCTAGGTTCCTAGGTGCCTTAAGCCTAGTGGCCTTATGCCATTGGCTCAGAGACACTTCCAAGATAAACAATTCAGAAAATTTGGAGATAGAGATATGGCAGGTTAAAATTACACCACTACGTACCTCCTTTACCCTTCAAGCTTGGTTTTAATTTGGAGAGGAAGTTAGATTCAAAATTCCTTTTGTGACTTTTTCTCACAACTGGAGAAAGCATTTCTGACTAGATTAAGATGGAAAGCAGCAAAGGGGATTCAATATTGTACTATACTGTGGACTGGATATATCCGCTTGACATTACCTCCAAGTGACACTTGTCTAATAAAGATTGAGACTTCTCTTTCTCATATATTCTTATTCAATCCACAATGAAAAAATATTTTTAAATGCACTGAATCTTTTTAAAGCATTGAATTCAGAATGAAAAAATGAACTTAAAAACTGTGCGCACACACACATGGACACATGCATACATATCCACACATTTTAGGAGAACCTTCCCAAGATTGACCTGAAGAAACTAAAGAAAAAATACTTTCTTCTCCTGTTTTCCTTCTTCAGACCTATTTGCAGCTTCTGTGTTTGAGATCTCGTTTAGAATGGAACCATTGTCTTGACCACTGCATAAACATTAACATGTAATAATTTGGTTAAGATTGTTCATAAGATTTGTTTTGTATCTGTCAAAGATATGTCAAGACATACTCGTGTCTTAACCTTTTTTGTAAAGATTTTTCTTCTAGGCAAATTTCTTTTGATCCACTCATAAGATTATGTTGGACCTTAAATCGTTTCCTGTAACACACCAAATCCTCCAACCTGACATGGCCAAAAAAAAGGAAAACAGCTAAAACTTGGTCATAGTCATGATCTAAAAATCAGTCCTTCACATCTAGGGCAAGAATAAGAAGACAGCATAATAATAAAATTTAAGAGGAAAAGTTAAGAAAGTGCAAGAAGTGAAAAAAAAAATCCCTGCTTTTTCCATAATCAGATCTCTTACCAGGGTTTATTGGATACCTAAGAACGTTCAGAAATATGTTTATAATTTTAAAGATTCTAACCAAAAGTATGAAAAGTTTGTCAATGAAGAATCAGTACAACTGAGAAAAGAAAATGGAACCTGATGGTAAAATTTCAACAGGTATTAATGAAAGTTAACTACTTTTTGGTAGAGAGTGGCAAATGTAGTCATGTTTTCAGAAGTTGTTCAGTGAAAGGTAGTTTAAATTCTAAAGTTAGAAGGCTGAAATAGAAAAGAAATTCCCTGTGTCTTCGTAGGTTCTGTGAACGAAGTGACAGAAATTAGAATGTATCTGTGAAAGTTTGCTATCTATTAGGCTTTTTTTTCAGTATGTGTTATTATACTTAAATGTTATCTATAGTTTTCCTAGGAAAATATGAAATAATAAAGTAACTTATCAGAGTAGAAAGAAGAATATTTAAGTAAAGAAATATAACCTGGCAAAAAATGAAACTTATTTTGAAAGATTTGTCACTGTATGCTAACTTGTGTAGATATTCCTTGCTACATATCATTTCCAAATATATATAAATGCCTGGGGAAAGATTTGATGTAGAAAAATTCTCCCATAGGAAGACTTTGTTCATATGATTATAACCACAAAGACTTCATTGTACAGTAATCATGAATGTCACAATAAAATATGACAGAATTAGTTACAGGAAAGCTAAAAGTTTGACAGTTAAATTTACTCAGCAGAAAGCAAGCTATAGGGGCCGGGGAGATGGCTCAGTGGAATAAGCACTTTCATGGCAAGCTCAAGGGTCTGAGTTCAATCCCCCGTTCCACAAAATTAAAAAAAAAAAAAAAAGCAAACTATGACTGTTGCTGATTTTGTGGTTTGACTGAATCAACAGAATTTATGCAAATATAAAAGAACAAGAGAAATTCTCATGATAAATTATTGCAAATTGAAGAAAATCCTAGTCTCAAACTAGTTAATGATACGTATACTCTGCCATGATATCTAATTCTTATTTAAAAATCATTAACTCACACTTTTAGGGTACAATTTCTTATCTATAAATAAAAGAGTTAAACCAGATGATCTCTACAAGCCTTGTCTTTTAACATCCTTACTTTCCCATTCTCTTCCATGGAAATCTTTCTATTTAAGTAAACTGATAACAAGGGCTCTGTTTATAGCTTAAGTACCTGAAATTCTAAAATAATGATAGTTCATAAATAATTAAAAATAGAAAGTTTTTAAATATTATCTTGAAGTTACTTGCAATTCTTAGAGCAGAAAAATTATAAGAATAAGGAGACTTTAGAGAGAAGTGCCATACCTAAGTGCTGTAATTACTTCTGTGATAATCATAACTAGAGAAGACTCTGTAGTATGGAATATTTCCAAAGACTCTATCATTACGATACCGAAAGTGGTATCGTTGCCCCCCATGGCAACAGCAAATGTTTTTATGATGATTAAGATCCTGGGGGGAAAAATAACTACAAAAAATTAAACTCATAATGGGTTTACTATTTCATACAGTTTTTCTTCAAATTCTTTAGCAGCTGATCTGCCTTTATTACATATAAAGTATAAAGAAGAAAACAAGGGACAATGACAGAAAGTAGTATTGAAAACTTCATATGTAAGTTAAACTTATATAGAGATAACATCAGTCTTTAACCTACTTAACAAAATTCCCAAACTATGTGAAAATCACTTACTATTCAATTTATTTTCATATTTTGCTATGTTGTTTATAATAAGTAGAAAAAAGGCTTTAGCCCTCAAGTATTTATACAGTTGTATTTTTCATACAAGAAAACTTAGCAGCACCCAAAGTCCTGGCTACTCAAAAAGAGATGGTGGGAGAATTGCAAGTTCAAAAACAGTCTGAGCAACATAGTGATCCCTGTCTCAAAAAAAGAAAAGCTGTTTATGGAGACAAGGATGTGGTCGGAGGAAACCATCTTTAATGAAAAAGCAAACTATGCTTTCTTAGAAAAACTTGAAGAAAAATGTGTTGATATTTAGTCTGCAGGTACTTTCTAATTTCTTTCCAGTAATTTTAACATTTATCTTTCCTTAATTATGGGAAAGCCAATAGATAATAACTAAGCTTTCTTGCGCAGTGTGTAGTGGATACCACAGAGCAGAGCAAATTGAAGCAGTTTTTTGGAGGAATATCTCATCTAAATCTCTCTTGAAAAAATTCTCACACTGTGGAACACACATCCTTTCTCACATCTTCTCTGCATAGGGTTACTGGAACATGTATGCTTGCGTTGGAAGAAACATGATGCTATGAAAAAGAAAAGGGCAGCATACGTTTTGATTCATCTCATGAGTTTACTCTCATGTAAAAGACTTAAAGTTATCCACCAAAATACATCAGCCAACATGAAAATAATCACATTTACTACTTAATTTAAGAGGATTATTAATACCAAAATCAATGACATATTTCCCACAGGTTGAGAGAACTGTCACAGCAGAATACGAACTAGAATTTTTACTACTTGAAGGACATTGCCTTGATTCAGTGACAAAGCGGCCTCCTCGGGGTTTGCAGTTTACACTAGGAACAAAAAATAAACCTCTTGTGGTTGATACAATAGTGATGGCCAATCTTGTAAGTATTCTAAGTATTTAACTGATGTTGTTTAATGTTTTTGTGAAATTCTCTTTAAGTCTTCCTAATAGTGAGATGAAATGATCTTTGTTATTCTATTGCTCAACAGCTCCCAGATAATAAAAATGAATTCTTAAATAATTAACTAATACAAAATTGGAATAGTCATACTTTCATATATACTTTTATATGGTAAAATCTCTTTCCTTAATTCATTTGTAAAATTTTGTCTTTCTCTAATGAGTAAACAATTGATTGGATAATTCATAAAGTCTTCTATGAGCACTTAGATGTTCTTAGTCATGTAATGCAATGATCTCCTCTCTCTCTCTTTCTCTCTCACTTTAAAAGGGATATTTTCAATTAAAAGCAAACCCAGGCGCTTGGATACTGAAACTACGCCAAGGAAAATCTGAACATGTTTATCAAATAATTGGGTGAGATATACAAACTACTTGTAAATCTTTACATGTGAATAAGTTCTGTGTGATGTACCCAAGATCAGAACAGCACTTACATGTGAACAATGCTAGCTCAGATCCAGAGCCTGCGGGACCAGTCCCAGCCAAGGCGCAGCGTGGGCAGACCATCTCCCACCCCCTTGGGACACCCCCCATCACTCCACAGCACCTCACCCACCCTGCCGGCCAAGTAGGAATTTCTGCCACGTTCCAGGAACCCCCAACCCAGTCCTAGCCCAGGTCTGGTAAATGTGTGGGAGAGCTTCCTGCTACCCTGCGGCAGCGGGACCAGTCCGAACCCAGGTGCAGCGTGGGCCAGCCCCTCTCCAACCCCCTTTGGACGCCTCCCACCCTCCGCAGCACCTCCCCCAACCCACTGCCGAGTAGGAATTTCTGCCGCATGCTGGGAACCCCCAGACCCAGTCCTAGCCCAGACCCAGTGAGTGTGAGGGAGAGCTTCCTCTCCCCCCTACTCCACCTTGTCTCCTCCAGGCTCAGCTCAGGCCTGGCATACATGGCTGGGGTGTCACCCTGCAGCTGCAATCCCTGTAGAGAGTGTAGAGGATAGATCCAAACAGCTAGTCCAGGAGAAGAACATCTTGCCACAGGGGCACAACAGGTTCACCCTCAAGGGCAGCAGCAGGAAGGAGCTGAGTACAGCAGCCAGACCCAAGCCAAGTACAGCTGGATAAGTCCAAACTGTGTAGAGCTGCACCTGAACTACAGTATATGCGAAGGTTATAACTACAGCAAAGATCTACAACAAAGGTCAGAAGACAGTGCTACACAAAATGACAAGAAGGAACAAAATGCAACCTCAGACCCATAACAAGTGCAGAGGACACTAACACAGAATAAATTGGAAATCACACAGCTGGAAGCAATGAATCAAAGGCTTCTGAAATAAAGAAACAGCTGCAGAAAGGTATAGAGGACCTCAGATTGGAAATAAAAAAAGAAATCCCTGAATTAATAACATCTGCAGTAAAGAAACAAATGCAGAAACATATGGAGGAAACCCAGTGCAC